AGTCGCATTTGACAATGCTAATATGAAATTAGTTAGCACTTCTTTTGGTGAATATTTATTAGAAATATTATTATTAAAATTTTCATGTTTACATGATAATTGCACTTTCCAATTTTCTAAATGCTTGTTGATTTCATCAAACATTTTCATTTTGTCAACCAATCGATTCTCTTTCTTCTGTTCCAAATTTAAGTTTGATTCTTCTGTTTCAGAATTGATTTTCTTTTGTAGCTCACAAATTTTTTTCAATGATGCTTTTAATTTATTTACTGAATCTAACATTTGGGTTGAAGGTACTGAAATCAGTAGTATTTCTGGAATGTGGGTAATTTGCTCTGGATTTTCTACAAGATTTTGGATTAAAAGTGGTGTACTTTCTATGAATCCAGATTTTTTATAAATAGAAAGAGAAGAGTTTATCAGGGGGTTGACCGAAAAGGCATTTTTTATATTACTGTAGACGATTTCAAATTTATTAAGGAGATTCTGCACTTCAATTGTAGCGTCATTAACATATTTGCACATTTCGGCTTGTTGCGGATATGTAGCAGTTGCTGGCATAAATTTTTTTATTATTTGTCGAATAGACGACGTTGTAATTGACTTTCCTGTAGGTTTGATTGATTGGATAGAATTCATCTTCGATTTTAAAATATTCTCGTTGATCTGTAAAACATCAATCGATAGAAGTCCAGGCAAAGATCGAATAAACTGAAATAAATCTAGCGTTATACTTTTCCAAAAATCAGAAGGGTATAATGCAATAAATATGTTTGAAGGAAATTCTATATCATAATTAGTTATATTGAATAAAGCTTGCATTTCACTCTTTTTATCTTGTTCGATAGCATGTATAAGTGTTTCGGGAAGATCATCGAAGATTATCAAATCAATATCAGAGATAGATCGATCATCCTCGTTAGAACTATTATTGTTTAAAAAAGTATTTCGAATATTTCTTGATTCGATAGTGTTTATATTGCTCACAGGTATGCTTACTTGTCTTTCTATAGGGCGCCAAGTTCTGTTTATATATTTTTCCAATATTGGATAATGAAGTTGATGAAGTAAATCTTTTTCAGCGACATCTCTATCATTATTTATCGAACTCACTTCTGTCCTACGTTTTAGATGATCAGAATTATAGTACTCTCTGCCGTCTGGATACGCATGACAAATCTGCCAAATAAAGGATACAAGTACTATCCCGATAAAACTTGTAAATGATGAGTTAAAATTCCTCATCGTCGAACAGAAACTTATGTTTAAAACAAAGCGCTTACTTTATATACTTTACATAGTTTCAGATAGAAAGAAGATATGTCACGCGAAACGTGCATTCTATTAATAACACCAGTAACTGATTATCGCGATTATAATATATAAACTAATTATGAGTTTGATTAATATACTCATTTATAATTATACATGGATTTTCCTTAGACGAAGTTATCATTATATAAACATGTATATAAATTTCCGCATTACTTTTTACATTTGTAAACTTCATTTATGAATTTTTTATTTCGTTTCCATATATAATAGTTTAGTATTTATAAGATGATTGGAATTTCAATACATTTGAATATCGATAACATGTATATATATATTGTAGCTGCTCGTATGTTATAAGAATTTATAATTTTCGTAACAAACAATAAAATATAAAATTTTTTTTCAAGATTATAATTAATAGAAGTAAAAGTAATTTAAAGGAATTTAATATATCACCATAAATTTATATTATCGGATTTAAAGAAACACTTGATTCAGTGAAAAGCACGAAGTATTAAAAGGATATACTTGTTACTTTCATTTTATAATTATATACATATAGTAGTTCAATTTTATTCACTATCAATTCTATTCTTAAAAATTTTCTAAAAATAATTTCAATGTATTTATAATAAATGTTGTAAATAAAATTTTATGCAATAAAAAAGTTCTAATTAAAGGAATCGACTATTAATAATTAAAACTAGTTATTATATTTGTAAATGATTACAAAATTCTTCACGATGTTTTTCATATTCTCATTTATTACTGAAAAATGAATTTATGTAAAAATTAAAAAGTTTTAAAAAGTTCTATACTTTATATTAAGATTGCTTATTAATTTTCGTAATTATTTAAACGATAATTTATCAATATCTTGTATTTTATTGATTGAAAATAGGAAATTTAGTGTTCAATATGCTTGTAAATCATTAAGAAATTATAATTATTTTATATTAAATATAAAATATATGTATATATATATATATATATATATATATATATACATAGTACATAAATTATTTTTAGTGTATTCAAAATTATAAATATGGATAAAAATAAATATTCCATATCTGATAAACACACGAATATATTTCAGTTTATCTAAAATACGGTTTACTTAAGTATAAATTATTTGATCAAGTAATTCTTGTCACTTAAATAAAATACAACTATATATGTTTTAATAAAGTTATATATATTTAATATTTTTATTTTAACTTGTTTCTTTTAGTATTTATAACTGCTTCAAATACAGTTTTTCTAAAAGAAAATTTTTCTAACAGTAAATCGAACAATTGTAACTACAAAAACAATTACCAATTTCAATATTTGATTTCCATTTATATAAAAAAAGTATGACTTTAAAATTTTAAATCATGAAAAATAATATTTGTATAGTTGTATTAATATAATGTGGTTATATAATGCATTTGTCATATTTTTAATTCCATTTCTTTACGTATTTTAGAATAAAAATATTGACCTTTGCTAAAATAAATTAGAGACCAATAAGTAATAAATGTATTTAATAACAACAAAAAATCAATTTTTATAATAGAATTGAATGTCTATTCAAATTTCCAATATTACAGTAATGTTTAACATAGAAAATGAATCATTCAATAAAAAGTAATCTTGTGTTATCTTTCTTCAGTTATGTTATGTAAATTAAACCTATGATAACATTTTTAATTAATTTATAAAGAAATTGACATTATTATTGCACTTTAAAATAAGCAAAGTCTATTGAGAAAAGATATCATATGTATTATTAATATTTTTTTAGGATTGGATAAAGTATTACTACAGATAAAAATAAAGAAGTTATTTATTTAAAATAGAATAATCATCAAAATTACATATTTTTATCTAATACATTGTGTTAGTGTTGTTATTCATCCTATTGAAAGTTGTAAATGACTTTGTTTAACTATTAATAGTATGTCATTATCAAATGTAAATAAAAAATATCTTTTTTGTAATATTTAAAAGTACAGTGACCGTGTATTAATTATTAATAATTTAATATAAACATACGATAAGATTTGAATATAATTTACAAAATGTAAATTTTTACTAATAGTAAAACCGTTATTATTATAATCAGCAAAAGGTTTAAAAAATTGTAGTAATATATTAAAAAATATTATTGTTTTGTTAAAGCATATGAATTTTTAAGAATTAAATAAAAATATTGCAGTTACGTAAATATTCATTTAAAGAAATTTAAAAATAAAAAGGTTTATAACATTAGTTATTTTAATATTTCTTTGCAAATAGTCATTTAGTCATAGGTTGCACTATAGTTAAAAAAAATTGTAGATTACTTAATAAAATTTGCATATTAATTATAAAACTTATATAATCTGGAGGCTTTAATTATTTAGTGCAACAATAAACATATGTATTTCCTAATATTATATAAATAGTATTTTTATTAAGAATTTAAGTAAAAATAATTTAAAATAAACTGTTAATAAATTTATTTCATTTTATATATATAATATTAATATGTTTTTATTTGTATAATTATATTATACTATGTTTTAAATATTAAGAAAATTTCATTTAAAAGAATATTGAAATATTTGATATTAAATTTTTTTTGAAAAATTTTACATTTAAGAAAGAATTTATTTATTAATTCTTATCTGAGTTAGTTTTAATTTTATATAAATGAGATTATATAAACCATCCTTTATGTATATTAATGCATTATAAAATTAATTACTAGTATTATTTTAAGCAACTTATTATAATTATTATAGTTATTTAGATAATAACATAAACCATAGATTTAATTACGTAGGGAGTAGTTAAATAAAAAATGATATTTTATTTTTATTTCTCAATTTATTTAAAATACTTTATGAAGAAAATAACAATAAGTTATTATTATTCATAATAAATATAGACCACAATTCGCAACATTAAATTTTATAAATAAACAGTGATTAATAGGACATATCATGACAAAATAAATAAATAAGTAAATAATTATATTAATACGTAGTGACTGATATTCTATTCAACATGGAAGATATTCTTAATAATTATTGCAATCGCAGTCTGGGATGGTATGAATTTTACATACTGGTCGATTAATGCGTTTTGGAGCAGGTGGTAGTATGAATACAGGTCGTCTAATTGATGGAGGTCGTGGGGCCACATACACTGGTGTAGAGGGTGGCGGCGGGGACGGGGAAGAGATGCACAATGGTGTTTGTGGAGAAGGGTGTGGTGGTAATGGCGGAGCCACATAAACGTTTAGTGCGCCGACTCGCGTACCTCGCGCGCCGCCGACTGATACGGCGGCGGGGGCGGCGGGGGCGGCGGGGGCGGGGGGGACGGCGGGGACGAAGACGGGAGAAGACATACCGGGGATGGGGGTGGACCATAAACCGGTGGTGGAGGAGGTCCATATACAATAGTTGGAGGTGGAGGTGGCGGTAACGGAGGTGGTGTTATATATACAGGAGGTGGTGGTGGTGGACCATATACTATTGTTGGTGGTAGTGGTTGTGGTGAACGTGGTGGTATTGATTGTGAAACACACACTTGTGTTGGTGGTGGCGGTGGCAATGATGGTGGTGGTGGTGCTGGTGGTAAATAATATATTTGAGGAGGAAGTGGTGATGGCGGTGGTAGTGGAGGCGGCGGCGGTGGCGGTGGTGGAGACGGTGGTAAATAATAAATTGGCGGTGGCGCTGGTGGGCCATATATCACTGGTGGTGGTCGAGGTACAGGTGATACACTGGAGGAGGTGGTGGTGGCGGTGGAGTGATATACACTGGAGGAGGTGGTGGTGGCGGTGGAGTGATATACACTGGAGGAGGTGGTGGTGGCGGTGGAGTGATATACACTGGAGGAGGTGGTGGTGGCGGTGGAGTGATATACACTGGAGGAGGTGGTGGTGGCGGTGGAGTGATATACACTGGAGGAGGTGGTGGTGGCGGTGGAGTGATATACACTGGAGGAGGTGGTGGTGGCGGTGGAGTGATATACACTGGAGGAGGTGGTGGTGGCGGTGACGGTGGCGGCGCAGGTGGCAATACACACAATTGAGTTGACTGTATTGGAGGTGATGGTGGTGTATATACCGGGGGTGGATTCACATAGCTGTAATTGGTATAATTTATAATTTACATGATTTTATTACTAGAAATGAATGTATTATAAAAATTAGAGATTGTTTCACGCAATATTTTTACTTTCATTTTTTACTAGTGCTTGAAAAATGTTATCATTTCTTATAGGTCATTCTGCAAGAAAAATACTTTTATCCTTTGAAATACAAATAATATATTGTATAATTAAATTAATTTTAATATGAAAATGGAAGTTTCAGTACATAAAGTTAAGTGAATTCATAAATATATATGTCTGTATGCGCCCACGTATAATGTATTTTATATCCGCGTATAAATGTAAAAATAATATGTATCATTATTTTATAATTTTTTTAATTATTCTATTATATTACTTTAATCAATTAACCATTAATAAATAATTTATTCTTTAAAAGATATTAAATGAAATACTATGATCTGTATTCGTCTGATAATAATAATTTTACAATTATAAATGGCGTCAATTTTTTTCTGTAGTCGCCCAATTCGATATTGCTTCATAAATCTTAAAAATCTAATGAATAAGCTCTAACTTCTTACATCGGATTAGGTGGTGGTCCATAGACAGGACTTGGAGCCGAATATACTGTGATACTACCTAACTGATCTTCACAATCATCTTCGAATGATGGGCCACTATAACTTTCGGGCGGTGGTTGAGGAGACGGTCTGTACACTGGTACAAATCGTGGTTTTGGTGAAGGAATCTAATAATATTCATATATTTATAAGTTTTTATTGTTACAAGTTTTTACAATACAAACAATTACTATTTCACCAGCTGTATTAATATTTTAGTTATATGTATAAACTTGTAGTACAACTAAATTTGAAGTTTATTAAATTTTAAAAATATATGAATTTATGAGTTTCAAAATGAAATGACTAATAAAAAGGAAATGATAATATGCTATATGTGATTCGGATCCTGTACATCTAATGATTGTCATCCTAAACTTACCTCAATTTTATAAGGAATTTCTATCTCATCATCACATGCAGGAAGATGATAAGCACAGCATCTCCGGCTTGAAACAACGAAGGCTAATGCCAAAGCGAGGCACATGCCTCGCAATGCAAGCGACATCCTTAAGCCGATGTCGCGACTACTCATATTCATTTGATGCACTCTACGTTTTTATATACTCCTTTTTCCCTTCCTTTTTTGATAATGCTTTAAGCCGATTCCAATCACCAGGATACAATCTTACTACAGTCACGAAGTGGCCCTGGCATGAAAGCGCAAGCATTTAATACGTTACTCGGCCAAATTAACGCATTTCCTGTTTAACATTTTTTGTCTTTCTTGCATGTGCTGTGTGATACTTGTTTAGAACAATTCAGGTATATTTTCCTTGTTACATTTATTGGATTTGCCGAAAAAACTTATCTTCTTTTATCTTGTATAAAAAAATCATCACATTAAACTATATCTAATAAATTTTGTTTTTTATATAAATATATTCATATATATTGTATCATATATGGAAGTAATTTAATATGTAAAAGATTATGAAAATTATATTTATAAACCGTTTAATTATTACATTTTTCATTGACTTATAAATATTATGTTTTGTTATTTACAAGTTTCACTGACATCTTGTTTTATATAACAAATGTTAGGAGCAATAAATAAATTAAAAATATATATTTAGTTTAAACATAGTAATATTCAAATAAAATTAAAAAAAATTACAACATATGATTATAATAATTTGGAAGAGCATATAATCGAATTACAGCTTATATGCTTGATTCACACATAAATGAATACAGTCTTTATTATACAGTGTTTATGCTTATTTTTTAAAATATATTATATATATATTCATATGCATATGTAAACTTCAATGCTTCTGATTTCATTTTACTACATTATATATCTTATAATTGTACATATAATATTTGTTATAAATATTTCATTGAAGTCTTTTGTAATTGTAACATGTAATGTTATTCATATAACATTATAATGTACAAAAAGATTGAAATTTTGTTATTAGTCAGATTTAAATAATTTAATTTAATGCAATAAATCATAAAAAATCATAAATTCTCCTTTTTTATTGGACAAGTAATTATATTTTCATAAAATATTGGTTTATTAGAATCTTTATTTAAAAACCAAAATGTAAATATATTATAAGACAAAATAAACTTTTTCGATATAATAGCTTATTTTTTTCAATACATGAAATATAATCTATTTTAGAATATTGTTAAAAACAAATTTATGGAAGATATTGTATTAATAATATATCATTTTTTATCATATAAAACTTAAGATAGATAATATGAATGTTTTATTTAAGATGTATTTTAATTATAAAAATAAAATTTTTTATAAAATAATGAAAAATACATAAGAAATTACTATGGCATTTGTTAAGTAAAATATTTATTTATGAATACTTATTAATATATTATATTATAAAAATCTATTTAAATAATATTATTCAATTATTCTATATATAATTTTTTAATGTGTATTTATACTAGTTTACTTATAGAGTAAATATATAATAAATAAATATGAAGGAAAATTTAAAGAATATTTAAAAGATGTTTCAATTTATTTGTAAATTTTATTTTAAGACACCAATGGTTGTAATTTTACGATTAAAATTTATTGCATTAATAACAATTAAATTTACATTCTTCATACTTTTTTTTATATACATGTAAATTTGTATACTTTTTTGTTATTAACTAGCATGCTGAACATGTTCTTAATAATAATTGATTAGCGGTTGTTTAAAAGAATGTTAGTAAACGTCAATTTTGAAAGTCATAACAGTCAATGTATGTAGGTAATCGTTTATAACATCAGCATTTCCGTTTGTGTTAATTTGGCATATTTATGCACAGATAAGACATACATGTAATTTTATGAACTTAAATATTATTTCAATTGTACGTAGGAAAATATTATTTTAGAAGTATATTATTCTAATAATCTTTGTAATATAATAGTATTAAATTTGCATTATATTTAAGATACAAATAAGATCTAATTAAATTAAAAAAAATATGTCAATAGTAGAAAGTCAATGTCAATAGTAGTTTAAAAAAAATTCTTTTTTAATAATCTTATAACAATATGTATTTATGATAAAATTATAATTTCTTTTATATTTTGATATTTTTGAATTCCATACACTTTAAAAAAAGAATGAAATTATAATTAAAAGGCATTCAAAAGATTGAATTTTTTATTATATTTAACAGTAAATTTGTCATTTAATAAAGTGATATTATAGTCATAATATATATTTAATATTTTTCCTAAATTCAAATATACACTAATCAAGCTAATTTTATTTTTCTTAATTTCAATAAATTAATTATATATATGACTCTATGTGTATGCGGTGTGTGGTGCGTATATATATAAATTAGAAGATACAATAATATATAATAATATGTGTAATATAATTTATTTATTATGCTGAATCTAATAATAATATATATTATCGATATTTACAGTTCATTACTAAAATATACGAAAAAATAAAAAACTGAAAAATTTATATTTAAAATTATAAACATTAATTTAATACTAGTTCAAAATCCAAAATCTAAATTTTCGATATACATTTACGTAAAATACATTTTATATATAATATAATTTAGTTTTAAAATAGATTTTATTAAAAAAATACATGAAAAATTATTAATAAAGCTGATATGATAGTGTATTAATAAAACTAGGCATGTTTTCTACAAACATAAACATAAGAAGAAGGCAAAGCAAAAAATGAAGCGAAGAAGGATTGTAAATAAGAAGCAAGTTATGAGGATAAATTTCTTTATTTATATAAGAGTTCGTATAACAGTAAGTGTATGAAACCGTTTATACCATATGGCTCCTTGTCATGATCATTTCAATTTTTTGATTTGTTTTTTGCTTAGTGTGCATGCCAACGGTTTTACGATGCGCTGACAAGTAAGCTTTAATGGCAGAAGTAGTAAGGGCTTATAAATCTTAATTCCATAACACTGATGCCAAAGAAAGCTTACTTTCAAACTTTTGGGGTTATACAGTAAATATTTAGTCGTTTTATAATTTCTGGAATTTGATACAATACAATAAAATATTATTGAAAAAAATGTCCAAATAGTCGATTTTTTTCCTTTTGCAATGATATAGTAATAGCGTTATCGAGTTTAATTCCATATAAATTTAGAATCATGTTTTATTTAAAATTATGAGGATATTGATAATATAAAATTAATATAATTATTAAAGAAACAATAAATTTTATTGAACTTTCATTTCGTTGTATATACTCTACTTATAAGAAAGAAAATTATTCTTGCTAATATTTTGTACATTATCAATAATATTGATTGCCATTATAGAACAATTAATTAAAAGTCGTTTGTATAATTATAAATATATTATTAAAAAATTTTTTTTATTTCGCACTGAAGATTTTAATATATAATTTTAAAAACTAGGAACATACTCTTAACAAACAATATTTATTTTAAAATTCTATTCAAGTTAAATGCAATATTCATGGATAAGATTATATTGTAATCTAATAATGAAGTTAATCAACTTAAATTTTTGTTTGAAATACTTCTCTATTATAAGTAATGATAATATTTCAATGATTGTATTGTATGTACAATCTTATTAACACTATTGTCTTTGAATTTAAGTATTTAATTCTATCTTATAGAATTAATTATAATTTAGTAATTAGACTTTGAATTTATATAAAGTTAAAAATAAATAGATTTTTTTTAATAATAAAAATAATAATAATAACCCTGATTAATTATTAAGAAATATTTCAATTGAAAATGCAACACTATAAATCACAGATTCATTGATAATTAAATATAAATAATAATTTTACTAATATTGAGCAATAATAACATTGATCCTATTTTTCCGAAAACATAATGAATACAATTTTTCATTTATGAAATATTTTCATTACTTGATTGTATTTTGCTACTAAAGTAGGTATATATTTATAGACATAATTAGGCGGTATTATTAGTTCTGTAGAAATATTATTAAAAATAAAATATATTTATTTTAATGGAAATTTTTTTATGTTGAAAAACTATTTTAAAACATGTTTTAATTTCAAGTATAATTATAAAACTTACTATTTATTTAAAAAAAGTTATTTCTTTGATTCATAATATAAAATGATTAATTTAAATACATAGCTTTTGCGAACGCTATATTCTATGAGATTTATGTACATTAAATATGTAAGATTTATATTACAATTTCATAAACGTATTAATAAAATCACAAAAACATTCATTAATTTAATTATATATTTAATTTTTCACGATAATGCAGAAGTTTAATTCTGATTGATTTTTCTCTCTTTATTTTAATATGTTACTAAAAGTAAGACTCTGTAGTAAATGGAAAATAAAACATTTTTTTCTTATAATTTTATAATTTATTTTAAGTAATTATTTTAAGTAAATTAAAAAAAAATTGTAAAATCTAATAATAAATAACTTCTAAGTAAAAAAGGTAATAGTTTTTTTATAATAAATTTTTTATCTTCGTTATAATATTTTTAATTAATTAATATAATTTTTACTGTTCCATATTATATGAACTGCTATGTTCGTAACAGGTGTGAAAGAAATTAATTTATTTGTTTTAAGATACAATTCTGTTATCTTTCAAAAAGGTTTGCGACTCTAATATTATTTATAATGAACTAATTATAATTGTCATTATATGTGCCTCCATATATAATGGAAATATATACAAAATATAGTTGTCTCCACTTTTATTCATATATATATATAATAAATTAATATATATAATAATTAATGATCGTTTGAATTTATACGTACAATTATTTTTATATATTAACAATTGATTTTTGAAGTGATTGCATAATGATTTTTAAATTTAATTTGTTTTATCATATTGTATACATCTAATGATCTATTATAATTCTTTATATGATGTACTCCTTGATTTCGTAGTCGTTATAATTATTATAATTGCCATAGTTGCTGTAGTCGCCGTACTAGCTGTACCTAGTTTTTAACGACTCTTGATTGATTCTTTGATATACTTTTATACTAGCG